AGTTTGGGAACTGTTGACTATTGTAAACCTTTTTTTAAAAAAAAAAAAAAAAAAAAAAGAAAGAAAAAAGAAAGAAAAAGTCTGTGACACTCAGCTCAACCAAACAGATCAGTGATTGGATTGATTGACCATTGGCACCCCGTAGATACACTTTTACTTTCCACCACCAGCACACTGTTGTACGTCTGTTTGTAGAGGCAACACACGTCCCACGATACAAGAATATCCCTGGCTTTGAGGGGGGGATGAATCCCTCACAGCGTTGCCAAGATCGTAACTATTTGTAAATATTGGGCTTTTAATATGTTCTCTCCTTGTAATGCTGTACCATATCATTCTGTAAAATTTGTAATTTTTTTCTTTTTTTTTTATCATTCAGGACCACAAATTATCGTCCCCAGCATTTTGCCATAGCTGTAGTCGTAGAGGAAATGTATTTGGGGTTCTCAGGGAACTGTGTCGGAGCGGACACCAGCGCAGCACCACCATCACCCACCACCATGGCTTAGGCAGCACTACTGTCCATCTACTGTTGAATAGGTACAGAAAACCCTTGGAGAGGTACTGGATCAGCTGTGGGTGGAACGACTGGCAGACACATTGTCACTGTCAGTAGCTGTGATGACGAGTCAGGTTCAGGTTAACTGGTTTAGAAAAAAGATTGAAAGGGTTAATTCATGCAAAAATAAGTATATTTTCACATACCCCTGGTGGGATCTAGTCATTGGGTTTTATTTACCCGGGTTTCCAGATGTCTGTCTCTGAGATTTCAAGAGCTACATCCAGATCTCACTGTGTTGAAGCTACTTTTTTTTGCTAATTAATAAGCAAGTGGTACAGCTAAATTAATCTCCTTGTTCTTGCAAAATAGGTGGCGCTGGAAGTTTAGTCACATAGTGAGTACTTGCAGGGTTGCAGGAATTTGCCTTGAGAAAAATTGACTCACTTGGTGAGGCAAAAAATAAAACAACAAAAAAAAAAATAGGTGGTACAGCAAATAGTGTGGGCAGAGTTAGCATGTACTGTCTGAGCTAGCATCACTTCTTTGCTTCCTGTATTATTTGTGCAGTTATATAAACAAGGATAGAAATAGTCAGCATGATATGAAGGAGGGGAACCGCACCTTAAGTTGGTTAGCTAACCAGCCACAGTAGCTCACTGTGTAGCTAACCGGTAACATGCTAGCTAGCTGGTAACAACTGGAACTCATGGTAGATAGCCACAACATTGTAATAACCATAACATGCTAGTAACATGCTAGGTACTGCCAGAGCTAGCATGGTTACAGGGCTAACAACAGAACTATAAATCACACTGCTTTTTATGAAACATGGTAGCATGATTTTTCTTCGCTGCTTGAATTATTTCGCTGTGCAGTAACTAAAACAAGGATAGAAACAGTCAGTATGAAATGAAAAAGTGTAACTGTAGCTTAAGGTGGTTAGCTAACCAGCGGCAGTAGCTCACTGTTTAGCTAACTGGTAACAAGCTAGCTAGCTGGTCACAACTGGTACTCATGGTAGCTAGCCACAACAACGTAATAACCATAACATGATTGTAAAATGCTAGCTACTGTCGACGCTAGCAACAGAACAGCTTTTTATGAAATGTATATGTATTGTTTCACGGTGCAGTTACATAAACAAGGATAGAAACAGTCAGTATGAAACGAAAGAGGAGTAAAATCAGATGTGGCCGCACCTTTAGTAGCTAACCAGCCATAGTAGCTCACTGTGGCTGGGTAGCTAACCAGTAAATGCTAGCTAAATGGTAACACCTGGTGTTCATGGGAGCTAGCCACAACAGACCACTCAGTAGCAGCCCAGCTAGCTGCTAGACTAAATGCTGACTCATTTTGTGGAGCAGTTTTACACTGTGGTCGAGTAGGGTTATATAAAATTGAATAGTGCAATACAACAATGTTATAGCTTCCTCCACTTTTTTTAAACAAACTTTATCAACAAATGGTTAGTACAGTAATTGGACTGACTATTTCCTTATGTCAATAAAATGCAGTTACAGATCTTAATCATTTAGTTAATGTCACAAAATAGTGAGAAATTTCAATCTGAAATTTGCTAATTCTGCTGAGACCAGGGGCTTAGAAATCTGAGAGACTGATATCTGAAAATCTGAAAAAATAAAATAAAAATATGTCTAGATACTTGTAGAGATATGTGAGAAAACATGTAATTTAGAAAAAATATTTTAGTTTAGTTCCAGTGAGACCAATCTTTGGTCAGTACCAGTTGATTGGACAGAGATAACACCCTGTGAGGATGTTATCTCTGTTTCACTGTTGTGTGTCTATAAATGTATATCACAGAAACCATTTTGGGGAAACGTCGTCTTTGTTCTGATCCCACCCCCCTCACCTGACTCTGCACTAAAGTCCATTAACTGATATTTGTGATTTTGCCTCTCAGCTTGAGCCATTTGAACTGATGGTGTTCTGCTCTTATTGACCTTGTTTTGTTTGTCGAGATGTCTTCATGAATGTATTTTATACTTGTTAAGGTATTGTCCCAGATCATTATGCTACTGTCACCACCTGTGAAGTTGATGCACACTCTCTGGTTTTGCCCCTCACTACAACAGTGAATTTGTGAAGCTCCCGTTCTGCAGTGGACAACGCAGGCGTTATGTTGTTCCTCTGCAGTCGGGCTTCTGCAGGCAAATTTCAGCTGTTACAACCTTCAAAGCCCAAATTATTAACCCAGAGCAACATACCTTTTCTTTGTCAGGAAAAGCCCAGAAACTTCCTGCTTCATGTTGCTTTCATCATCCCCATATCATTTAACGGTGTCTGTACTAACATTTAAAGGTTTCCTCAAGACTTTAGCTTGATTTCATGCAGCTCTGTTCATGACTTTATTCTGTTTCTTGGCCTTAAAAACAGATTTTTCTGGCATTGATGCTGTTTTTTGCTCTGTGGAGTTTCTGATTTTGTGTTGTGCCACATAATGCCTTATTAGAACACATTTGGTTTCTATGTAATGGTACTGTTTGTATGATAGAACACAAGTGCACATGCATGCATACACACACATATATACACACACACACACACACACACATTTTACCCATACATAAGGCTGAGGAGGATTTTCTTGTTAGGGCATTTGGTTAACTTTGTCAGATCACTGCTCCTTCCTGCGTCGGCTGCTGTAAGCTGCCCACTTAGTCTGTTTTTAGTCAGGTTTTACTCATGTACAAAGTATAATTATTGGTTATTATGTGATCGTTTGCTCCCCACTTGTCTTAATGTCGACTCTTGTCAAATAGTTTGCTTCAAAATGTCGTTTGGCACAGAGTTTAATCATGTTGGACTTGGCCATGTTTGAAGATGTTAATGTCTTGCTTGCTTATCTCAGAGGTTGCAAGAAAAATGAGATGTTTGGAGAAACAGTGTGAGGTGTTTTAAAAACCACTTATACTGAAATAAACTTGCTGAAAATTAAACTCTGTCGTACTCGTCTTTTATGCAGCGGAAGAAGGAGGTTTTTAATGCCCGTAAAATATGCAGAAATAAAAAAAACATTTCTGTTTTGTTATTGAGGAATGTCGAGGAAAGATGAAGCATCGTGTGTGATGAAAGAATGAAGAAGTATACAGATGGCGTGTTCAGTCATGCATGGTGATTCAACGGTTTTATGAACCCTGGGAAACCATGAGTGGTGCCCGAAAAGTGACCCTGAAAGGTCCTTTTGTATGGAGGCCGACGGCTGCTGTCAGAATAAGTATGTTGTTTTACAGTGTTTAATAATAATTGATTAATAAATTGACCTCTCAAAGAATAAATAAACGCATTCATTAGAATTTAAATAAAAGATTAACAAGATAATGAATGTTTCTAATTAATAGCCTGATGCTATTTCCTCATTTTGTCTTTAAATGGTGAATTAAAAACTTAATATTCATTTTAATTTAATTTTGAATATAATAATAAGATTATAAGATTTTTAAATGCAACTTTTTTTTAAAGCTCTATTTAACAAACCAAAAAAATAAGAAGAAACCACATTATTTTTTTTTCAAAAAAACAAAAACAAAAAAACAATAAGATGTTAATGTAGAGCCTTAAAATTACACAGATATATTTTGAGAGGTACAAATTGTAATAATAGTAAACAACACTGTCTATTTCTTAGTTTTATACTGTAGACTCTATTTTCTAAATATTATATTAATGTTATGTATATCCAAATCTTTGCAAAACTTCAGGAAAAATTCACAATTTTAAAATAAATGTATGAAAAATGCTTCTTTCTTTCTTTCTTTCTTTCTTTTAATCAGTCAGTAAATCTTCCAATCATATTAGTCACATTGTTACAGGGATGTACAGTATTTTGCGAAGGATTTTTAAATAAATTTTTTAAACTTTGTTATGCAGACTTTAAATGATGTAAGCCAACCTTGTTTTTATCAGAAATACCACGTCTTACCTCCATTTTCTCTCTAATATTACTTGAACAAGATTTATTTTTTCAATACATGGACATTTTTAGACCAATCACAAGAAATCATTGGCCAAACT